TATGCATGGTTATACTTTTCAGAGGTCCGATATTGTTCTATGTACAATCCTTGTTTTATTGATTGCATGTAATATTCATATTCTATATATTCTATATGAGTCTTATCTCATATATTAGTTTCACCTCTTAAGTTGCATTACTGAAATAAATGAACTTTTGCATGATATTCTAATTTTTCGAGTTTCACCTGTATGTAAGGTTCAATGGCTTTTTTTTTTTTAAAAAAAAGGATGCATATTTCATGACCAACAAACAAAATGACATTAGCACCACCTCCAATAATCCCCTCACACACTTTTTTTGTTGGCTGTATGTCTGTCTGTTGGTTGGTTGGTTGGTTGGTTTTGAATCCATTGAGTGAAACATTTTGCATTGTTCTGTGAATTGGAATTGATTATCTAGACTAATGGTAAGCTCTCCTTCATTGATACTGTATGTTCAAGCAGAGGTTCTGTATCCATCTGCTTTGGATTCATACACTAAGCAAAGCTTGGACTTAAATGGCTCCTCCTGTGATTCTAGGTTGACATTAAAAAACATTTAGATTTCTTTAATCATTCCAGACAAGGATTTCACTGATAGAGATCATGCTTTATCTGTCAAGACTGCCCTCTTTGGGTGTACAACCTGCCATAAATAATTCAAGTTACAAATGAAAGAAAAACTTTTTGCTTCAGAGTGTAAAGAGTCATTGCACTCACTGTTGACTAAATAACAGAATAACAGAATGGCAGAGTTGGAAGGGACACTCCTAGTCCAACGCCTTGCTCAGGCAGGAAGCCCTATACTATTTCACACAAATGGTTGCCCAATCTCTTCTTAAAAACTTCCAGGGTTGGAGCATTCACAACTTCTGGAGGCAAGTTGTTCCACTGATTAACTGTCAAGAAAATTTATCCTAGGTTGCTTCTCTCCTTAATTAATTTCTGTTCATTTCTTCTTGTTCTGCCTTCAGGCGCTTTGGAGAATATCTTGACTCCATCTTTTTCGTGACAATCCCTTAGATATTGGATACTGCTATCATGTCATCCCTAGTCCTTCTTTTCATTAAACTAGAAATACCCAATTCCAGCAACCAGTCTTCATATCCAGTCGCCTAATCATCTTTGTTGCTTTTCTCTGCACTCTTTCTGGAGTCTCAACATCTTTTTTACACTGTGGCAGGGGTGGGTTCCTGCCAGTTCTAACCTCTTCTATAGAAGAGGTTCCACAAATCTACAATGCCATTTGGAACTGGTTCCAGCTCCCTCCCCCTGCTCATCCACATATCATCAAGATGAAGAGTGAGAGGAGGAATTCTGGGAGTTGAAGTCCACAAGTCTTAAAGCTGTCAAGTTTGAACACCCCTGGGTTTTTTTTTCTNCTTTTAGCTGTTAAGACTGCATTTATTACACTCTCTCCGCATTTATTCATTCTTGATTCTAAGCCTAGCGATGGTGAACCTTTTTTGGTTCGTGTGCCATAGGGGAGGGAGCACATGGGGGGTCATGTGCAGGCGTACTGCACCCATAATGCAACACGTGACACCCCCAGTGCGCATGTATGCATGAGATGCACCCCCCCATTTTCCCATGCTTTTTTCGCCCTCCCCAGGCTCCAGAGGCTTTATAGGAGCCTGGAGAGGGTGAAAACAGCCTCCCCCACCGTTTAAATTTAAGTCCTCCGGAGGCTTCCCTGACCTTCAGGAGGCTTCCCTGAAGCCTCTGGAGGGCTTAAACTGACGCCCTCGAGCAAACTGGAAGTGACTTCTGGTTTGCTCATAGGGTCCTTTTTAGTCCTCCGGAGGCTTCAGGGAAGCGTCCTGAAGGTCCCTGAAGCCTCTGGAGGGCTTAAACTGATCCTATGAGCAAACTGGAAGTTCATTCCTGAACTTTCTCTTTGCCCATAGGGCTGTTTTTTGCACCCCAGAGGCTTCAGGGAAGCTCCTGAAGTCTCCGGAGGGCCTCCGGGGGGCAGGGGAGGCTCTTTTCACCCTTCCCAGGTTCCTGTAAAGCCTCTGGACCCTGGGGAGGGTGAAAATGGCTTTAAAAAGCTGAATTCAGCTGGCCAGGGTGCGCATGCATGCTAGCCAGCTGTCAGGGCAAAGCCTTGCATGCCCTGACAAATGGCTCCCTGTGCCACTTGTGGCATGTGTGCCATAGGTTCGCCATCCCGGTTCTAAGCTATTAAATTCACCGTCTCTAGATTATTTTGTTCTATTGTTTTTCGGATTAATTATGAAGTATTATGAAGTATTAATTGTGAAGTTAAAAGATAGAGGTAAAGGTTCCCCTTGTACATATGTGCTAGTCATTCCTGACTCTAGGGGATGGCACTTTCTCCATTTCAAACTGAAGAGCCAGCACTGTCCGAAGACATATCCGTGGTCATGTGGCCAACATGACTAAATGCCGAAGGGGCATGGAATGCTGTTACCTTCCTACCAAAGGTGGTCCCTATTTTTCTACTTGCATTTTTAAATGCTTTCGAACTGCTAGGTTGACAGAAGCTGGGACAAGTAACAGGAGCTCATTCTGTTATGCGATGCTAGGGATTCCAGCCACCAACTGCCGACCTTTCTGATCGACAAGCTCAGCATCTTAGCCATTGATCCACCATGTCCCTTGTGAACTGTGAGGTTAAGTTAGCTTAAAAACAGTGATTCTAATAGTCAAATGCCAATGGAGAAATATTAGAAGATCAACAACTGAGTTCTCTAACTAAATAAACATTTATAAAAGAAAAGTTGCATTCCAGCTCATTTAATTTTTGAAAATATTTTATATGCATACTGACTCTGCAGAAGGGTTTCTTACATTTTTTCCTGAACCACTTCCTATAACTTTGCACAATGGGTCCTACCTTCTTGGTTTGAGAACATCCCTTCTGGACACCGAGCACAATCATAGCAGCAAAATTTCTCTCCCTCCTTCTTTTTCTTACTGTAGCCAGGGTGGCACTTTTCATTACACAGGGAAAGAGGTGGCACCTATCCAAAAATATAGAAATGGTTCTAGTATTCAGGATATCTTTGGAGAATGGGTTCTCACATTTGGTGCTTCACTCATTGTATTTCGAGGAATCATCTATTATGTGTTTCCAGAATAAGAAACTGTATCTTTTCAATGAAGATT